CCCCAAAACCCCAAAACCCCAAAACCCCAAAACCCCTCAAGCAATAAATAAAAGTAATTTTAAGGAAATAAATATTTTAATTAATTCAGAATTTTATAGCAAATGTTAAGAAACCAGTGTGTCCTCTTGACTCGATTTTGGGGGCAGTGACTAGCATGCCCTTGTCTTTTTACTTTAATTATCTTTTATTCAAATTTCCTGTGTTGGTATCTCCCAAGTTATCTTATTATTTATTTCCATTCTCTTCAGTGACAATGGTTGGCTTAACTTGCTATTTGAAAGACTAATAATTATGATGGCTACTTGAAAAGTCTTTGGATAGAGTCTCGTATGTTTTGATTTCATAGAACCCTTATCTTGCCATTTCCTGAACTGCTTTTTGGACCTATTCAATGCAAGGACTAAAATTGCATAACTTTCCACCTCTTTTGAGAACTTTATACGCATGTGGCACTGCCTTCTCCGGACTGGGCAAGTCAAGAAATATGGCATCAATTGTATTTTCATTAACTAAAAATTCACCTGTGCTCTCATCTTTCAGCAAGAATCCATTATTTAAAACATCACGATGAGTCACATGCACATTCTAAGGATAAAACCCTAATCTCTGGAAATCCTCGATTGCTCTCTAAGAACGAACCTAGTTGAATTCATAGGTAAATAAGTGACCTGTTGGAACTATGGCTTTCATAATTGACACTGAAAGACTGCCACTGCCGGTTCCTGATTCAACTACTCTAAAGCCAGGTCTTAATTCTAATCTAAATAAGACTTGTGATATATCAGGAGTATATAGAATCTAGGTCCTTTGAGCTAAACTTGAAGTATAGATGTGTGAGTTTGGTCTGAGTATGTACACCCAACCCATCATTGTCTTAGAGTACATCTTCGTTCCAAACTATAGCTTATCTATGATATCATTATGAGGAAAAGCGCCAAACTTGTTTTAAAATGTTTGGTTTCTTTTCATCACAATCTGCTTAATGTTATCTCCTGACTCGAATACAACTAGAGTGTCGCCCTCTCTAATTATGTTATCTGAAGTGTATGAGAACACATTATTTTTGGTTTTCACTCCGTCTCTTATTTCTAAGAGCTTGACCATTGAATTCGATTCCATTTTATATTTTATCTATTAACTACTTTCGAATTTCACCTAGAATATATATTTATTTCGACTAATGGGGTTTTGGGGTTTTGGGGTTTTGGGG